TTGTATATAAAATAATATGTCATAATAAATAATTTTAGTTGCTGAGGAAGTCTCAAATAGAGACGAAACGTTCAACGGATAAATATAGTGTTCATCTTAATTAAAYCCGYYCMRAAAACAACCTCCCTAAGAGTAAACTTAGTAATAATATTGCAAAAATCTATTACTAGAGTTTTTCGACAATAGGGACCAAGACTTTTATGAGAGGTGCATTATGAAGCTATCTTTAAAATAGAAACAAATTATAGAACAAAACGGTCCATATTTGAACCCAAATCGGACAATCCAAAACACGTTAAATAAAGTCTTGAAGTTCACGTAAAAATAATGGATTTCTTTTTCCCCAATCTAATATTTTATCGAATTAAACAAAATACCGACAGGGAAAAAGTGTGTTTTTTGTTCGTTTTAACGTGTTCACAGGCGTAAGAGACGGAACTTTAGTAAACAGGCTTCTGAAATCTTAAACGAGTACTTCTATTCGCACCTGAGTAATCCATATCCGAGCGAGGAGGCCAAAGAGGAACTCGCACGGAAATGTGGAATCACCGTGAGTCAGGTAAATCATTTAATATGTTTATTTCATTGTTACAGTAGTATGCAACAATTTGTACCTTGTATAGGGTAAATCAAAAGTTATTAGACCATTAATGATAAAGCACACTTTTCAAAAAAACTCATCGAAGGTTTGTACTAGTCAGACATGGGTCTGTTGTCAACAAGGTTGTCATATATGTTTTGTCAAATCAGTGACACTTATTCAGTAATGTGTTACAAACGGTCTAATGACTTTTGGTAATTTTGTGAGTGACGTTCAGAGATTATTTTTCTAAAAATTAATTGAAAATTGCATATATATATATATATTTTGTTTATTTTAGGTTTCCAATTGGTTCGGCAACAAGAGGATACGCTACAAGAAAAACATAGGTAAAGCGCAGGAGGAGGCGAACTTGTACGCAGCCAAAAAGGCAGCTGGTAAGTTCCGTCCTTCGCGAATGAGCAACGGGTGTTCCTTGAAGAGTTCCTTTTATTTTTTTCTAATTGAGCTTTTATCAAAACAAATAGCTAGAATTTTAATAGTTCTGCAACACTTTTACACATTATTTTATATAACACAAAAAACACATTAGGCATTTGTATATATACGTGTATTGGGTGCTTTGTTAAATTATCATCCGAAATTTGATTATATAATATTAATTAAATCAAACGAAATAAAAAAAGAGCGAGACAAAGGAGAAAAATAGAAAATAGGGAGAAGATTGTTGACGCGAGTAAAACAATAAAGAACAATTTTTTAAAAAGAAAAAAAAAACAACGATAAATTAGATGAAAGAAGAAAAAGAATAAAATATTGGACACCTAGCACGTTGTTAGTTGAAAAAAATTCTCACGTTGCTTTTTAAACGGCTCGTGTTCTTTCATAATTTCTTCGTTATTTTCGTCCGACGAATGAAAATTATAGAACGCGGAAGAACTCGTTTAACCGTGATGGTTATTAATTATCGTAAATCATTAAACCTGCACGCCAGGTAAGTTACTACGTGAAGGTATTAACACTTCGACATAAATTTCCTAAGTTAGAGAGAGAGAGAGAGAGAGAGAGAGAGTTATTTGCAAAAAGACACACAACATATACGCACGCGTATGAAGTCTCGTCGTTGGTTTTTTTTTTCTTCCTTCCTTTTTTCCCTCTCGGGGTTCTTCATTTTTCTCCCTCGTGGAGTAAATTCTTTTACACAAAACTCCGACATTGTTTTTGTCGCGTCCTCACGAGTTGATGTATATATATATATATATATGTGTGTGTATACTCCTCATACTTCTATAGAATAATTGGTGTGGAAAATTTTTCAAGGTGTTGAACTTTTCTGAGAAATTCTTCGCATTCGCGAGGGTCCTAGTGTAATTTTTATTACGTCGGTATCCATCCCCTTAGCTAACTGCAAATGCGTTTCTTTATTTTTACACATACACACACACACACACCGTTCCGAGATATTTTTTAAATTACTAATTATACGAAGAAAGAAAATTAGATGGAGAGTGAAAGAGAGAAAAAGATTACGGCACGAGAACAATGAGAAGATTTCCATTTTTACAGTGTTTGTCTTTTTACAACCCCACGTTCTTCTCAACTTTACTTTACTTTATTTTACTTTTTCTTCCTTTTTCAAACAGTAGTCCTCGTAATTAAAGGAACTAAATTCTAGTAGGGAAACTATGACCTTTAAGTGTTGTAGATGGGTAGAGGCGGGAAAGGAAATGGATGGAAAGGGGGGGGGGAAAGGGGAAAGGGGAGTTCGTGTCCCGTCAGCCACAAATATCTCAAAGGCCTCGCCCCTTTTGATCGGATTCGTAACGGATAAGAATTAATTGCACGTCCCGGTATACACGTACACACGCTAACATACATACGTATACAAATACACGGTACAAAAACACATACGTATAAACTTCTCCCTTTTTTCTCTACTCCTTTTTTTTTTGTATTTTTTTTTTTTTTTTATTTGTTTTAATGCAATCTCGCTCTCGGGTTTATTCATTCGAATAAAAATATAAAAAAAAAACAATATATAAATAAATAACTAAAGCATTTGTATGTGAAATATTGCATACGCACACTGAAAACATATATACGCGAATTTAACCGACGGCGTTGACGTAAAATAAAATAAAATAAAATAAAATAAAATAAACAACAAGTATAACAAAATAAAAAAGAAACAACAGTTTAAAGAGAGCGAAATCAATTAAAAGCGTTCACGTATATCAAGCATAAAATAAATCAATGGGATATTTATTCGGTTGTTTAAAACGCCGCCGGTTCGTTTTTATAAATGATCCAGGAATATTTCTATTTTATTTATTATTTTTTTTTTCTTATTCGTTTTCCTATATTATAATAATAATAATAATAATTATTATTATTATTAAAAAAATATAGGAAGAAATCAAAATCAAGCACGCAAGACAGAAAGCAAGAACAACGATACAATTAAAAAAAAAAAATAAAATAAAATAAAAACAAACAAACAAAAAAAAAGCTATGATTGATATTTAAAGAACTTATAGTAGCACCCTCGAATTTTGTATGCACCGCGATTGTTTCTACAGCAGCTTTTGCAGGAGCGTCGCCGTACAGTATGGGTGGTGCCAGCCAGGGTACACCAACGCCGATGATGTCACCTGCACCACCTGGTGGACCTCAGGATATGGCGGGATACGGTATGGGAATAAATGGAAGTGATTATGGCTCGCAACCTTACAATGACGGTTCCATGGGTTACGACCCAATGCACCAGGTAAATCTGTTATAATCATTTCATAAACCCATCACCCCCTTCTAACTATTTTCATTTTTATTTCTCTGTTTTATTTTTTTTTTTTTTTAATTTTAAGTTTAAGATCAACACGTTGACTGTCGCGTTTTATTTTTTTACACGTTTTTTACTCTAGAAGTTGTTACGATTTTTTTTATTTTTTAACACCGGTCATGGTAATGGGATAACCAACGCGACAGTCAACGTGATTACATTTAGATTTATATGTACATCTAATTAATTAATTAATTAATTAATTGTTATTTAAGTACGATACCCAATAAAAAAAGAAACTATCCCTCAATGTGAGCGATTGATAGAGAGAGAAAGAGACAGAACGATCAGAACGAATGCGTGAGTGAATCCGTGAGTGAGTGCGCGCACGCCTGTGTGTGTGTGTATGAGTGAGTGAGTGAGTGAGTGAGAGAAAATAAAAAATAGACAAATGAGGAGAAAATTATACGTAGATTGTGGTCATTCGTCGCTCTGGCTTCATACGATCCCACGCACTCGTTGAGCATGCGCTCATTGTTTTTCTACCTCTTTTATTTTTTATATATATGGGTCATTCCATGTCAAATCGACAAATTTTTTACCTGACCCCCTTTGATTTCGCTGAAAATTTTCTATCTTTTTCTACCCCCCGAAAGTTATTTTTCAGAATTTTTTCAAATTTTTTTTCCCGACTCAAAAAAAGTTATGAATTTTTGAAAAAAAACCGCTTTTATTT